CATTTGCTGAGATTGTGGATGATTTGTGACTGAACTCAAATACTTGTTTTTGTCCTTTAATTTTAATGCAGTTGGTTAATGAAAATCTATCTGTTTTAAAATTAACAATTGATCTGACATCAGTTGTCATTTGCAAAAGAGAGTTTCAAACTTCTGGTACCCATTATGTGCTGAAGTGTTTATTAACTTCAGTGCAAAAGACCTGGCTCTAATTTTTAAACTGTTTCTGAAGACAAAACTCCCCAATCCATCGAAAATATCTTTCTCCCTGCTCCTTAATATCCTGAATATTTTAATTAACTGACCCCATCATTTTCCAAATTCCTCTAATACAAATCAAGTTTGTATAATCATGCCTCGTAATTTAATTCCTGGAGTCCGGATACTGTTCTGGCTAACCCATACTGCGCTCCCAAGACTCTGATACGAAGAGTTGTGTAGGGTACTCTATGTATGATCTAATCAGGGTTCTGCATAGCTGCAGATGATTCCTATCCCCATGTATTCTAGTCCTCCAGATATACAACCAGCGTTCTATTATTAATAATGTTTCTGTCTGGACTTACTATTTTCTTTGGGCCTCCACAGTTTCTGGCTTTTCTCCAATTAGAAAGTACCCTGTTCTAACCTTGTTAGGTCTAAAATAGATAACTGCATGTTTGCCTGAATAGAAATCCTTTGGCTTAATTTGTTAATGTCTCATAATTTTACTCTTCCATCTCCATTGCTTCAATGCCAGTTATCTTTATGTAATTGGCAAACATAGATACATGTGTTTCTATCTGATAATTAGAAGTAATTAATAAATATGCCAAACAGATTATTGTGGGACATCATTAGTCACTTCTGCTTTCGCTTTTCTTGCTGCACTTTAACTTTAGGTAACAGATTTCCTTATGCCTTCTGGAATTCCAGGTAAATAAAATCCGTGGACATTCCCTTATTTCACTCATTAGTCACCTCTTCAAAAAAATTCAATCAAGTTCATCAGGCATAACCTACGTAGAAATCCAAGGTATGAATCAGATGAAACTTTTCAGTGGATTGATGTTTTTCAGTTCTGGGGTCACAGTCTGAGTTAAATGACTTGTTTCCATCTACATCGTCCATGTTGAGGTCGTGTCTTCTCTTAATCTTTTTTCATTAAAAACAAGCTCTGCATTGTTTGTTTGCTTTACACCAGATTTCCCCAACATTTTCAGTGACACGGCACACTTAACAAGACTACCAATTTAACAGCGAACTCAGTTTCTTTTCAGCTGAATTGATTGCTCACGGACATCACATTCACTTGCATTTTCTATACCACAGTGGCTCAGTGGTTAGCACGGCTGCCTCACAGCACCAGGGACCCGTGTTTGATTCCAACTTCGGGTAACTGTCTGTGGAGTTTGCACATTCTCTCCGTGTTTGTGTGGGCTTCCTCTGGGTGCTCGCATTTCCACCCATAGTCCAAAGATGCAGGTTAGGTGGATTACCCGTGCTAAATTGTTCGTAGTCTCCAGGGATGTGTAGGTTAGGTGGATTAGCCATGGGAAATGCAGGGTGATAGGGTGGGGAGGGGAGAGGGTTCTGGATGGGAGATGCTGTTCAGAGGGCCAGTGTGGACTCGATGAACCGAATGGCCTGTTTCCATAACGTGGGGATTCTAAGAATGGAGACATTGAGTGATTGGTGAACCTCCCCCGTACGCCCCCTGACTCTGTGTGCCCCCGTCCGTCCAGCCACCTTCTTGCAGAGGTTGTGGTGTGGCCTGGTCACCAGGGGCAGTCGCTGCCTCCGACCATGCAGCACTTGGTGAGGTGGTGAGCCGACCTCTCCCTTGGACTCACTTCCAGCAAAGAGCCAGCTGTCTGCATGGTGCAGCTCCCGTACTCTCCATGTTCCCGTCTCCGCTCTGGCACAGCCCTGACAACCCATAGTGGCAGCGGTGCGTAATCCCACCGGCTCAGCCCAGTGAAAGGCAAAGGCCAAAAGTAACAGTCACTGGACCCATGCACTGAGTACCAACATCATTCACCAATCAAAAGCTGGGAGCTGTTCCCCTTGTCCCCATAATAGGGGCATTAGGTGTTAGCAGGTAATGTGGCACTGCCACCTGAAAATGTCAAGGCATACTTCTCACCATATATATAGTCCATTGTACACATGGGCTCTCACAACTGGAAAAATAAGTTTCAACTTTTAATCAAATGCCATTGGGACATATTGCTAACACAATTGGATATTTTCAGTCAAACAAGTTATTTGTAAGACAATTTGTAAAGCTACTTGCTTCTTGTGTATAATCCTGTCTAAACGCTTTTTAATTTCAGAGTGCTATATCACTAGTCATGGTGACCAACAATTAAACTTCAACAGTATTACTATTCTAGCCCTTTCATCGTGTGAACTTGGTTCCTTTTCCAATATTTACAACTTTGTGTTTATCTACATCTGGATATTTGAGTGTTACAGATTATAATTTATGCCAGCCCATGATTGTACACTGCTGCTGTGGGAAGAATTGGCAGTATTGTTTGCTTTAAATCTATGCAGATTTGAAGATAATTTTATGTTGATGGGTATGGAGTTCTATAATTGAACCTCAGCAGGAGTGAATGAAGATTTGCCAAAATTAGTTTTAACAGCAGGAAGTTTGCAAATTGATTTACTTAATGACCTTATAATATAATGTGATTCTGTTGATAACTGAAACAATCTAATACATGTGAATTGCTGAAGCATTTCATATAGTTGAATGCTAAATTACATCTTGACTCTCGAGCTAATGGAAGCAAATTGAGGGCAGTTTTGCTAGCAGACTTTGTCGCATATAAAGTGCTTAATGTATGAAACCTTTAACCTCATTTATTGATGTCCATTCCAAAAAAAGTTCACACAATATATTTTAAAAATTATATATATATAGCATAGCGAAAGTCCGTTTTGCCAGTGAAATCACAAAACCAGAAAGGTCATTTCTTCAAACACTCACTCACACCCCAAAACTGAGTGGATCCCAGAACCTGCTTTCTTTTCGGTGATATACCTGAATCTTCTCTGTAGCATCATGATATTTTTCCCCAAATGCCAGCGTGCATTCTGCAAAACATAACGTTGTCATTCAGCCACCACTGTATTATTCTGCTGAGTATGCAATATATTATAAAAGGTAATGTCAATCCAATTGAGGATGTAGGTAGTGAAAAGCACAAGCCTAGCTTCCGTGCTGCTCAGCAGCATTCCCCTGTAAGGTCTAATGGGCCTCACAAAATCTCCCACACAGTGGATTTCACTTACTTTGCATTTGGTAGAGTGTAGGAGTTTGAGGCATGATCTTACAGAGGTTTATATAATCATAAGGGGCATAGAAAAGGTGAACAGTCAAGGTCTTTTCCCCAGGGTAGAGGAGTCCAAAACTAGAGGGCATAGGTTTAAGGTGAGAGGGGAATGATTTAAAGGGGACCTGAGGGGCAATTTTTTCACGCAGAGGGTGGTGCGAACGTGGAATGAACTGCCAGAGGAAGTAGTAGATGCAGGTACAGTTACAAAGTTTAAAAGACATTTAGACAGGTACATGAATAGGAACGGCTTAGAGGGATATGGGCCAAATATATGGGGACTGGTTTAGTATAGGAAACTTATTCGGTGTGGACGAGTTGGACCAAAGGGTCTGTTTCCGTGCTGTATGACTCCGAGTGCTTGCTTGGCTTTTTGAATTATGCTGCTGTAGAGACAGGTTATTCACATGTTGGATTTTCGAGATGTTGTGCTCCGAGTTGAGACCACATGTAATTTTCGGATGAAATGGGATTGTATGGCAAGGTATAATCAGACCTGAATATGCTGACATATTCAATTCTCATTCTAAAGTCATACATTCTGTTCTCATTTTTTCTGATTTTATTACAAAACACACCATATTAACTTTTATAATGGGTGCTGTAATATGTAAACTTGTACTGCAGTTACAGTGCCATAGTGCCTCCACTAATGAGAGATTCATAAATTCTTTGGGTAATTACTGTAATCCTATTCATATTGTGATTTATCGAAAACATCACAAGGCACTTTGTGCAATCACTTATTGTAAAGTGCTGTGTTATGTAAGCAAGTGCTCAGCTATTGTTGGCCAGCATTGCAGCTCAGATAACAGTAGAATCAATCGTAAGTTAATTTGCTAATAGTTGTTGATGGTATTAAATATCATCTCATGGTTTTGAATGGTATGGGCAATTTTTAAACTTCCTGTTCAAAAGCCACTTCACTAACCAAGGAACCTTCTGTACTTCCAATATTGATATTACATTAAGATGAGAGAAATTTCACTTATAGAGTACCTTTCAGAACCTCTGAACATTTCTTTTTCTTCTGTTCATCATATTGCTCATGGTTAATTGTTCTTGAAATTGGTGGTGAACTGGTGTATTGAACCACTGCAGTTCACCTTGTCTGTCTACACTGCTATCAGAGAGGCTATTCCAAGATGTTAACTCCATGACAATGAAAGAACAGTGATATATTTCTGAAATAGGATGGCATGTGATGAGGGATAGTAGGGGTGATGGGAAGGTGCAGTCTTTACCAGTTTCCATGCATCTAATGCTCTTTCCTTCCAGGTGGTTGAGGTCAAGATACAAGTTAAGGGTAGTCATGGTTCTTAGAGTAAGAAATGAGACAGCCGGTTTATATTCAGTGAAGTCCCACAAAAAGCAGTGTGATAGTGAGGAACTAAACATGCTTTATTTTCATGATATTGGTTAAGGGTTACAATTGGGCAGGACACTGTACGACTCATCTACTGTTCTTCTCAACAGTGCTGTGCGGTCTTTTTTTATCTATCTGAGAGAGCATTCAATCATTAATTTTGTTGATCTGTGTATTTAAAATGATGTCAGGATCAAAAAAAAAGAATTTATCCAGTTGTTTTGAAGGTTTTGGAGCTGTCTGTTGCTTCGTTCTTATGCGGTCTTTTTCGGACTGTTGCACATCGTCTAATAATGTATCTATCGTTGCAGGGAGCACAGAAGAAGATCTTGGATGTGGCAAATATGTTGGGAATGTCAAATACTGTGATGCGTCTAATTGAGAAGCGAGCGTTCCAGGACAAGTTCATTATGATTGGTGGAATGGTGGTCACCTGTATCATCATGGTCTTGGCGGTTAAGTATTTGACATGACTCAATGTTGTCTTGCAGACTGTGCTTCAGGGAAAATAAAGAATCAGTATTTCCACGAAAAGACTGCCCAAGTGATTGGCTTGTTGCTTTCAGACTCCACACCCTCTTTCCCCCTCATCCTCCCATTGCCCTGAAACTATTTCAGGTAAATGACTACCAGTCTGGACGAAAAGCCCTTACATACTTTGTAACCATGCTGCCAATTCTTTTGGTCAGCACTATTGATCAAAGATTTGAAAAAGCCCAATAATCCCAATTCTAATAAGTAAAAGTGCTGGATTATAATCCTTTTAATTTTGTGGTACCCAGAGGAGGAAAAATAAACCTTTGTTTAATAAAAAGAAACCTGTAATAAAGCTGAATTTGATGATACTGCCAGGAAGCCTCTTTGTACTAATTGCTCCTATCCTCCCTCCAGGCGTTTTCCTGCAGAATAAACACAATTAATTTCAGGTGACTGAGCTGACCTTTTCAGAAATAGCATTTTTCAACAAAACACCTTCACCTCTTGATGCATTCAAATGAGGCATTCCATATCTCCCCCGACAAATGTTGCAACCTGGTGCTTCAGGTAATGGCCAGATGCACTATCCTCATCTGCCACCTGCTGAGCTCTCAATTCCTGAGAGAGCAAGTTCCTGATCTCAGCCAAGCTTCAGAGGCAGCTGTTGACTTTGAAGGTGTGTTTGCCGCATAGTCAATGAGAAACTCTTGCGGACAAATGAACCCAGGCCACCTGCATGGATCATCTAATGGTGGGCTCCAAACAGAATCAAGGAGACAGTGTGCAAGGTGTCCTATTCCTGCCCTGAAATTCATCCACTGGTAGGTTTTTAAAAAAAAAACGTCACATACTGGAGAGAAACTGGAGTTGAACTTAAAAGAAAATGGTACTGCTATGATAATTGAAGGATTTTTCTATTGCTGTTGGAGCCTGTATTTATTATAAAGCAGCAAACTACTTTTTACTTATTCAGTCAAGATGGTGCCCAGGTGTCATCGCTATTCACTGTGAAGCTGAGAAATGGTATCCTTACTGTCTTTGCACTAGTGGGAAATGGATGTCATGTGAAATGTTCCTCATTGGAATAACCTGTCTGCCTACTGTGCATCAAATTGTCTGATCATTGTTCCACAATATTGACTCTCAGCCTGCAGGATGCTTTGGAATAATTGAAAGGTAGCTGCTGTACTCAATTTAAAAAAAAATACATTGCTTCGGCCTTACTGCTATTTTGTCTTTAATTCAAATGTTCTTTTTTCTGTGGTCGATACTTATAGCAAGTGTACTTGCCAGTCTCATTGTAGACTGGCCCCAAATTATATTTTAAAATTAATAAACCAAGCTCTGTTCAGTAGATGTCCAGCGACTTCTGTTAAAGATGCTTCTACTTTCTGACGGTTAAGGTGCAACATGTGCTTTCATGCACATCTGTATTGTGGAATGTCTCTAGAAATGGTTTGATTTGCAACTGTGTATACATTTAATGGTTTAATGCTACTGATGCACGAGATATGGTTTGTAATTTGTTTTTACATTCTGCCTATCAGACTGTGAATCCTGTCTTTTCACCTCGATAGGTTTGAATAAATAATGTAAATTTCAATCCAAATCTTATGAGGCAGGCTTTCCTCTTCCTGTGCTTGGACTATTGGATTGCTTGGGCTGTGAGAAATGAGAATACACAGGAAGTCAGGCTGGGAGGAGTGCACAGTCATAAGGGAGCTTGTCTGATCTTTTGTCTATTTAAAGTAGTTTTGGAAATTAAGCTGACTCCAGTTGGGTGTGCATACTTCCCACCCAATTTTCCTGTATTCGCTACGCCCAGGTGATCCAGTAGCCCAAAGCATGGGAATGTTTGCCCTACAAATAGCTTGTTTGCCATATTCTTGACTAATTTTGCAAATGAGCGTGCTTTGAACTGTCTCGTATGATGTGTTTGTATAATTGTTCCCTTTGGTAAGTGATTGTCAAGTTTTGGTGATGGTTGAAAAATCCATTTGCTTTCCACTAATCACTGCTGGTTAGAGTTGTTAAAGAACTTAGTATGAATGCAAACATTCTGTACTTTAAAACAGTTTCATCGCAATTCTTGAAGAACGTTTCAGTAGATTGTTCACGAAGTTTGATCCTGGACCGTTTTCTTTTCCGACTCCGGTCATTGCCAAGTGAGCTAGAAATTGTGCAGCATTTAAAGCGTTGAACTGAAATCTATGAGATTTAATGTCATGATATTCTCTGTCACTCACTACCGATTGGTAATGAATGGTTGTGAAACTTCTGGTTCTGGTGGGGGCCATGTGTTGTACTGGTTTCTTTTAATTCCAAGTAAGTTTCCAACATATTTTCAAATAACTTATTTCAAAATCTTCTCCAACCACTGTTCTGAAAAAGTTTCTCTCACCATTTTAATGGACATTCCCAAGATTAGAAACTTTTGTAGGATTGAATAAAATCAAAACCATGAATTAACTGTGTGTGTGTGTGTGTGTGTGTGTGTGTGTACAGATGTTCATCAAGATAGAGCGAGAGAAAACAGCTGGACACAGCATTGCTCATCCTGCAGCTTATGACCTTGTATAAAATAGCAATTCAATTTTAGCAAACTCACTTGGAAGATACCCACTCCTGCTTTGGTGAATCAATCCAGCAAGGTGACTATGACAGTTCACAAACAACATGCGTCTAAAATTCCTGGACACACTGCGTGACTTTTTACCTTAATGATTAGAAGTTTGTGTACAGCAGACAACACTGTTTCTAATGTGCTGTCAACGGACAGAGCTCCATGGTGTGATCTTCTAGCTACCTTGTCACATAGGCAGTTGTAGTAACATGTTTGTCCTGGGAAGTACTGATAAGTAAAAATTTATATCAGTCAAACTGAAAAGGTACCCATAAAAACATTGCTTCAAATTATTCTAGAAGGTAATGCAAACATGATAACAGCTAATGCAAGTTTCGCTAAGGTAATAGTTCCAAATTCATTGCAGTGTAGTTTTTTCCTGTGATTACTTTGTTGACACTGCTGTTTCGGATTTCTGTAGAGATTAACTGTGTAAAGGTACAGTCCACGCAGAATTCTTAAAATGCAGTCAGGAAATCTTCCACAAGACCATGAGAGAAGAAGCAGTTCCAGGCTTAGTTTCAGGGAGTGAGTTTGGGCAGGTGAGAATGGTCAGTGGGCGAGCATTTTAAAGGTAATGATGTGCTTCATGTAGATTTAGAATAGTTGCGGAAAAGGTGAAAGATAAAAGAATTAAAGTCTTAACTTGTTGTGGGGAAAGGCCAGTTTACAAAGCAGAAATGAGATTTGGCAAAGTGGACTAGAAGTAGCTACTGGGAGACATATCAGTGTCAGAGTAGTGAGAAGTATTCATGGAGGAAGTTGAGGGTTCAGAATAAATTTAAGCCCAGAATGAAAACATGAGGCTGTCTCGTATCTAAATCCATGGATCTTTAGATGGCACTTGCTTGGAAAAGACAAAGAAAGAAAGTTTATTTCAGATGTCCCAAGCTCAATATTGCAGAAACCCTAGTGGAATATAGAAAGTGAAAATAAAAAGGAAATTAGGAAAGCAAAGAGGAACAGTTTTTAAAAAAAAAAAGCAAGTTAAATCAAGGAAAACCTAATATGTTTTATAAATACAAGAAGAACAAGAGACAATTAAGATTAAACCAATTGGAAACCACAAACGTAACTTGTTTGCAGAGGTAGAAGATGTGAGCCAGAGTGAGAGGTAATCTCATTGAAACTTACAACATACTGAAGGTTATAGATGGGGTAGATGCGGATAAGATGTTTCAGCTGATTGTAGTGTCTAAAACCAAGTGGAAAAATTTAAAAGGGGGACTCCACTTAGGTCCGAGACAAGGCAAATTCTTTTTTTACTCAGTGAACCTTTTGGAATTCTCTGTCACAGAGAACTGTAAAAGCTCTAAAGGTATGGTTTTAAGGGAGTGGGCAAGTAGTTTAGAGGAGATGTGAGGAAAAAATAAATCATCTAGAAGGTAATGGGAATCTGGAACTCACTGCCTGTAAGGATAGTAGAGGCAGAAACCTTCATAACATTTATGAAATATTTAGATGTGCATTTGGGATGCCAAGGCGCATATGGCTATGGGTCAAGTGCTGGAAAATGGGATTAGGATAGTTAGGTGATTGTTTTTGTACACTGCAGGCTTGAGTCAAGGGCCTTTTCCTGTGCTATAGACATCTGTGGCTCAGTCTTTGAGAATGTTTAAGGTAGAGATTGATAGATTTCTGATTGCCAGTACCATACAGGACTATGGGTATAAGGCATTGAACAGTTCGATCAGCCATGATTGTATTGAAGGGTGGAACAGGTTCAATGGGACTCAATGGCCAACACCTGTTCCTATGTTCACTGATGTCAGGGATGGGTACATTCAGTGCCAGCTTTGTCTTAGCGATAGCAGTCTTGATCTTGAGCCATTAGGTTACATATTCAAGCTCCATTTCAGTGATTCAAACATATAATTTTGGCTGACACGCCAGTGCTATATTTTGCGAATGCTGTATTGTCTTTCAGGTAAGATGTTACATAAAGAGACAGCATGACCTTTTTTATTTTCCACCAAATGTGACCCATTCATCTACAGAATTGTCACAACACAGAAGTAGGCCATTTGGTCCATTGTGTCTACACTGGCTTTTTGAGCACTTTAGTGCAATACCAATCTCCTCCATTTCCCTGCAACTCTACACAGTGCTTCTATTTAAATAATTATCTCATGCTCTTGTGGATGCTTAAATTGAGCCTGACTGTACCATACTTCCAGGCAGTGTTTAGTGTGTAAAAAATATTTTCCTCACCTTGCATTTGCTTCTCTTGCAAAAGATTTGAAAACTATGGTAAGATCAGTTTCTCCCTGTTACCGCTGTACAGACGCATCATGATTTTGAAAATTTCCTCTTATCCTTCTCCTCTCCAAAGAAAACAGCCCCAGTCAAGTTCTCCAATCTTCTCTCATACTGATGTTTCATTTTATTTATTCACTGAATGTGAGCATCACAGGCTGGACCAACATTTATTGCCCATCCCTAATTGCTGCAGAGGGCCATTTTAAGAATCAACCACATGGCTGTGGATCTGGAGCCACACGTAGTCCAGACTGGGTAAGGACAGCAGATTTCCTTTCCTAAAGGATGTTGGTGAACCAGATAGTCTTTCCGCAACAATCAGCAATGGTTTCATGGTCATTATTAGACTGTTAATTCCAGATTTTTATTCAGTTGAAACTCTACCATCTGCCATGGCAGGATTTGGACCCAGTTCCCCAGAACATTGCCCAGGTCTTTAGGTTAATAGTCTAGTGATCATAGCACTAGGCCACTGCCTCCCTCTCTCATGCTCGGAACTATTTTCATAACCTTTTCTGCACTCTCTCTAATGTGTTCACGTGCTTATAATGTGGCTCCCAGGGCTGTGCACATTACTCCAGCTGAGTGTCTTCTATGAGTTCATAATGTCCTTGCTCTTGTACGCTATGTCCCTATTAGTGAAGAATACTGTAAGCTACATTAACAGTTCTCACCACCTGTCCTGCTACATTTAACATCTGTATATTTACACCCTGGTCACTCTGCTCCTGCACACTGTTTAGAATAGAATCCTTAATATTGTCTCTCAATGTTCCGTCATACCAAAGTGTATTGCTTCACACTTATCCACATTGGACTTCATCAGACATTTATCTCCTCAACTTGTCAATGTCTTCTTGAAGTTCGGTAGTGTCTTCCGCATGTATAGTTTTCCCAAGTTTTGTGCCATCTGCAAACTTTGAAATTGTCCCCTGCACATCAAGATTTAGATCATCGATATATATCAGGAAAAGCTAGGGTCCTATTACTGGCCCTGGGGAAATCGACTACAAACCAGCTTCTGGTCTGGAAAATTCCCATTAATCATTACTCTTAGCCAGTTTTGTATCGATCTCACTTTTATTTCATGACCTTTAACTTCCATTCCAAGTGTTTTGTGTGACATTGTACCGAGAGCTGTTTGAAAGTCCGTGCAAACCATATTTAACAGCCTTCGCCACATCAACCCTCCCTGGTACTGCTTCAAAAAATCCTCAAAAGGACATTGACAAGTTGGTGGAGAGGGGAGATAGGTGGCAGATGAAGTTCAGTGTGGATAATTGTGAAGTGATACACTTTGGTACAAGGAAAATAGTGAGCCAATAAAAAGGGTACTGTTCCAAATGGTGTCGAACAGCAGAATGACCAGCGTGTAAACATACAGGAGATGTTAAAGGTAACGGGGATTACGTTATTTACTAGTTTGGGAATAATGGTGTCCTGTCAAAATCAAGTAAGTGTTTGAATTGATCAGTAAAACACAAAGATGCTGAGAGACAGTGAGGGACATTTAAAGAGAGAGATGAAGGTGTAGTTGAAGGAAATAACAGTCACATGCCTTGTGTTTAATATCAGTGTGTTTATTTAGTTTTGACAAGCCAGCTTGTGTTTTAGGTATTGCTTTCTACAATATTTAATTGCTTTTGATCTTATCTTGAATTTCACTGCTCTTACTATCTCTTTTTTTAAGTGCTTGTTTTAAATATTTATTTTGTGATAAATTGCGAGGGATTATATTGAACTGAATAAGGTAAATATATTTCTTAAACCCATTGACGTCTTTGAGCTCACTGCCACAGCTAAGAAATGGAAATCAAACAAGAGTGTTAAAGTAGCAGTCAAATTGCCTACCTCCTAGAAGAAAGCATTCAATCTTGACTTTTGCTGAAAACAGGTGTGAGATCGAGACGGTCAGAATGTCTTTTGCAAACGTATAAAGGTAATAGACAGGACACAAACAATTGATCCATCAATTCTGCCCACACTCATGATGGAGTATCGTGACTGGGTACTACCTTGGCAGCAGTAATCTATTAGTATGTGCTGCGGCTCATCGCCTGTGGGAAGGCTGGATGTGAACTGTCTCTCAGACTAAACTGGATGGTCAGGCCTGAAGGGGAAACTAGTCCCAGAGGCCATCTTGTATGGTCTAGCAGTAGCCCAGAATATTGCTGTAAGATCAATAGTAGCATCCCTGATCTTGCAAACTTTCTCCCAGCGAAACTCTTGTGACTTTTCTACAGCAGTCCTATTGTTCCTCAAGTTTATACTACTAGTGTGTTACCGTAATGAGACACTGATTGATTGGAAAAAGGTCAGACAACTCTGACAGACAAGAAATTGGTGGCCTACATGTGCAGTTGTTATCTAGGAGTTAACTTTGATCTGGAGAGGCTTGACAGGTGACTCCTAAAATCATTTTATAAAATTACCAGATGGGGAGAGACCCATAGATTGATACCTTTATCGGATCTTCGCAATAGATTATTCTGAATATCATATGCTGTGCAGCATCCATGTTTCCAGGGTGAGGTAATGGCCTCACGGGATTATGACTAAAGTATTAATCCAGAAACTCAGCTAATGT